TCACCCCTAAAGTCACTATATATTAGAAAGTTTCCTAAAAATAAGAAGAAATATTTATAAATTGTTATCTTAAGTATTAGGTTTAAGGGTTATTTTGGTATATACTATATTTTGTTAAGGGTATTTTAGGTAAGAAGAAAAGCCAAAACTGCTTCTGCTTCTGCTTTTGGAAAGAAGTTACTTTTTTCTGCTTATCTGAAACTGCTTCTGCTTCTTCCCAAAAGCACGTTTTTTTTTTCCAAATAAGCTTGGTCAAACACCTCAAATTAGGAAAAAAGTACTTTTGGGGAAAAAAACACTTTTTTTGTCTTGAGAAGCTTGGCCAAACAGGCTATAAGCCTGGTTGGAGCCAAAAGTGTTTTTTTTTCCTCAAAAAAGTATTTTTTTTCCTCAATTTGAGATAATTGTCCACTTTTTGGGGGAGAAAAATTATTTTTGGATAGAAGCAAATATAATTTTTTGAGAAGCAGAAAAGGTAACTTCTCTCCGGAAGTAGAATCATTTTTGAATATCTTCTTACCAAAAATACTCTTAGCAAAATCTCATATATAAATAACCTTACTTAGCTTAAACTATTAAGTAATATATATTATATATTATATAATGACTTTTCGGATGAACTTTCATTGTTAAATGATTTTTTGATTTATTTAAATCATCTCGAAAGAATAAAGTACTTCACAATTTTATTTTCATATTTTACTTAAATAAAATATAATAACTTAATTATTATCTGTAGTAATAAATATTTGAGATGATTTATCTAGTTATAAAATATTAACTATTAAATAAATCTCTTAGTATCATCATTCATAATTTGATACTTAAATTGCTCAAAAGTACTTTTAAATTTATTAGGCAAATATAAATTGTTTCTTTACAAAAATATTTATTAAGCTGATTTTTCATTTTTACGGCCAAACATGCTACTCCATTAGTCTTCTCGTATTTGCCCATGTCTCCCGGTGGGATATTTTTTGAAAAAGCGGCTTGGGCGTCACAAAATACTACTCCTATTTATTTTTTTCTTTTTAAAAAATCTTTTATCTTTTTAAACACTCTAATGTTTTGAGGGAACAGATAATGTGGAAAACCCGCCTTCCTCAGCATACGTTACAGCTCCATTGATACGCCTATGGTGGGTAGTTAACTTTTAGGGGTTGGATTTGGTGGGGAGTTGGGGATTTGAAAATTTTAAGCTAGAAAATTCTTCTCGCTCGTCACTCGGAGCTTTTACAAGTATAGCAGTTTTATCCATCCATGGCCACTGCAGCAAAGGCATCCCTCCTCTTCTCTCCCTCGCCGGCGCCTGAGGGCTTTCTCACAACTCGTCTCTGCAAACTCTTCCCCACTCAAAAGCCTTCTTTTCCCACTCCCGCTTCCTCCTCCTTCTCTTCTATTACCTTATCTAAGGTCCTCAGTGCCGATGCTGTATATACCAAATTGCCTCCCCGACTACGGACTGCGAGGCAGGAGCAGGAGCGCGACGCCATTTCTCTCCTAAATGAGCGAATTCGGCGGGAGCACGCCAAGAGAGATCAATCCCACCCTCTTAGACCGGCCATGGATTCGGAGGAAGCTGATAAGTACATTCAGCTGGTGAAGGAGCAGCAGCAAAGGGGCCTCCAGAAGCTCAAAGGCGACAGAGCAAGACAAGCTGGTGCAGGTGCAGACGATGCAGCTCAAGCTACTTTTAGTTACAAGGTGGACCCTTACACTCTCCGTTCCGGCGATTACGTGGTGCACAGGAAGGTCGGAATTGGACGATTTGTCGGCATCAAATTTGACGTTCCCAAGGATTCCAAGGAGCCTATTGAATACGTCTTTATTGAGTATGCTGACGGCATGGCTAAATTACCCGTTAAGCAGGCTTCTCGTTTGCTCTATCGTTACAATCTGTACGTACAACTTACCTTTTTACTTACCACGTAGAAGTTATACATTTATATGTACTAGTAATTCTTTATTCCTTGAAGAACTACTTTGTCAGTTGGCTACATTGTCCAAGTTCCCAAGCTTATTGAGCTACAACTCATTACACTGCTATTCATTTCCCCCCTTTTTATGGTAACTAAAGTCATGCAATAACTTCTTTCATTCATTTGGAGAAGATTTTTGCATACTCACTGTCATGGGCGGCTTTCCAGCCATGCCCCATGACCCCTGGATAGACATCTCGTAAAGCAGAATCTCATTAAGAATCTCAGGAAGACATTAAGACATCAGTTGCTTAGGCTTACGTCGCCCTTCCAAGGAATCTCAGGAAGGCGCCGCGTAACAATTACTTAGGTCAGTGCAGTTACTGTCCGCCAACTGAGGTCCCCTCCGTATGCTAGACTAGATTGTCAGTGTCGTACGGGAAAACCAATGTCAAGAGCAATTGAGAGAACAGAAATGAAAATTGAGATTGAAAGAAAGCTTGATTGTATTAATGAAAGCTATTACAGAAAAGCAACACGGTGTCGAGGGGGAGAGACACCAGTACACAGAATTGTTTGCTTGCTAGAAAGTTTGACTGCTTGATCCCCCCCTCTAATAGTACTTAAAAAAAATAAACCAAAGCTACAAGACTAGACTTGACTAAGCTAGAGAAACATAATGGAAGTAATGAAATAAAACTACTCTATATTTACAATGAAAAGAACTTAGTTTTCTACAAGGCAGAAACAGGTCCGTTGTTAGTAGCATTGTCTTTGGCATCACGGTCTGCGCGCGGCACTGTTGGCATCTGCCTGCGGCTGTGCGTTGGCGAGGGATATCGGTAGGGCGACAGAGGCACATGCGCGCTTGTCACTTGGCGCGGCCAAGACCACGGGGCCGTCCGTGGCGTTGGGAGGCTTGCTAGGACGCCACGGGGCGCGCTCAAGGGGTCATGGGGCATGGATGGAAAGACGCCCATGACATCACAAATGCATATATTGCTCCAAGCTCCAATACATCTCGAAGGGGCCTTCTCCTTTTGGGTTCCAAGTAGAGGGCATACCTCCAACAAAGAATCATGTTCTGTCTAACGGAGTACAGTAGTTTTCTCGAGTGGAGACTTAGATTTGCAGCTCTCAATCCAAGCAGTATCTTGAATAATATTTTTCCCAGTCACGAGGACAGCTGCTCACTAGATCGCTTAACATGTCTTTTCAACTCAAGGTAGCTTCATTTTCTTTACAAGCTTATCTGCCTTCCAACCCTTGTTAATCCAGCATACTTCTTAGTGCCTAGAAAGTAGGCATCTATCACAGTTTAACATCTACAAGACCTACTGGAACATGTTCCTTGTGCATGAATGGTGGAGAATTACAGTATTTAAGAATATCGTCATTTTTACTGCATAAAACGAATGATGAGTTTTTAGCAAGACCGGCCCCTCTTACCAGCTATATCATCATGGAAAGATAGCCAAGTAATAAAGGCCTATTTGCTGGTTTCAGCCGATAGCATATATCAAGACGCCGTAGGAGCTTTATATTTTGAACTGTTCTAGCTACTCTTTATATTGCTCTGGTCCTTTTGATTTGAAGGCCTCTCTTTCAATTACCAAAGGCTGAAAAGAAAAGGAAATGGATCTGCTCTATCTATGATTATCCTTAGCGAAATCACTGCATATCACATTTCCGGAGGCGAGATCAGGGTCTGATTCTCGTTTTGGAAAAAATAGTAATTATTAAGACGGAGATACATGCTTTTGCCTTTTATAATCCTTCATCATCATCCTTGGAATGACTCTCTGAGTTATGAATAACCGTGGGACCAAGGGAAACCTGGAAATGTTCTTTATTATCAATTTCGTGTGTCAGAGAGATAGTCTAACTCTGCAATTTGATTGGTGCATTTTTAACTTTTCAGCCCTAATGAAACCAAAAAGCCACGGACTTTGAGCAAGTTAAGTGATACTAGTGCATGGGAGAGGAGAAGGATGAAGGGAAAAGTTGCAGTTCAGAAAATGGTTGTAGATTTAATGGAGCTATATCTACACAGGCTAAAACAAAAAAGGCCTCCATACCCAAAGACCCCAGCCATGGCTGAATTTTCATCTCAGTTCCCTTTTGAGCCCACACCGGATCAGAAACAGGTTTAATTGTCTCTTCTGTATCTTTTAAATTCTGACGTCAACCTGCAACGTGTTTTCTGCGAAATATCAGCTGTTGTAGGTTCTTGCCATGTGTATACTTTAGCTGCAATTATTGTTTTTCATCCAGCTGGTTCAGCAAGACATATATGAAGAAATTTTAACAACAAAGTAAATAATAACAGTGTTATCTCTTGCCACATTCTGGTCAAAATAACTTATTGCTACTCTTGGTCTGAAAAGTTTAATCATTTTTACTGGTTTACCTGTAATGGGAACCTTTCTTTGTTTCTTACAGTTTGGGTTCCAATGACAGGCTTTCTTAGATGTGGAAAGGGACTTGACAGAGAGGGAAAATCCGATGGATAGATTAATTTGTGGAGATGTTGGTTTTGGTAAAACTGAAGTTGCACTTCGTGCCATCTTCTGTGTTGTCTCTACAGGGAAGCAAGCTATGGTTCTAGCACCAACTATAGTTTTAGCTAAACAACATTTTGATGTTATCTCAGAGAGATTCTCAAGATATCCTAACATCAGAGTTGGACTTCTTAGCAGGTTTCAGGTGCATAACTCAATCCTTAGCTATACATGGTTGATTCCTAATATGCACTTTCTACTTGAACATCCTTCATCGTTTGAATAGTTGTTGGTTTGGTAAAAGAATGGTGCTTGCCTTCAGAGCTTCAATGTTTAAATTGCTCTTCATATAGTTTTTGACAAAATCTATCTTCTTGCATCTCATGATTTCTTAAGATTAGCTTTGACAAAATCTATCTTCTTGCATCTCATGATTTCTTAAGATTAGCTTTCTTGATCAATAGGTCCACGGCATGAAAAAATTATCTTAAGCTCATTAGAGTGCCTTAAAATAAGGGATTCCGTTAATAAACTGCATGCAAGTCAAACTGACGTAGACACATTAAAAATTATGTCTGTTGAGGATTTTATACAGTTTGAGGTCGTGTAAGCTGTTTCACAAATCGTGCTTAGTTGATTGTTATTTATTTTAAAATTTTTACATTGTTGAAATGGTTTAATATTATTTTATATCTGTATACTGCATTTAATTGTTGTCTGCCTGTTTGATTTCATTGAGAAGAAACAAAAAGAATGACTTTTTGAATGCGCAAGGGAAGTGTACGAAACTAGAAGTGATGTCTTTTTCCTCTTTCTTTTCTGGTGTTTTCCTTCCAAAATCTGAGTGGTAATGGTTTCTCAATGTGAACTCTTTACATATATTATTTTTGTTTTAGTTCTTTGGCGTTGACACTGTTGTTTACTTCGTCCAAGTAAACACCATAACCTGTATTCTAAGTCCTAATTTTAGCTTACTTTGCAACCTACTATTGCTCTATCAAGACCAAGTCAGAGAAAGAGGAGTACTTGAGTATGATTAAAGACGGACGCGTGGATATTATTGTTGGGACGCATTCACTACTTGGCGATCGGGTTGAATATAATAATTTGGGTCTACTTGTGGTTGATGAGGAACAGGTATGCCCACATATCTAACTGCGATTGTTTTTTGGATCATTTGTTTGTCATTTGCATCTAAAGGCAGTAATATTTCGGATTTAGTCATGGATGAAATAGGTTGGTGACTTGTGCAAGTAAGGCCTTTTAACGAGGGAAAAGTATGCCTAATCTCCCTTTTTTTAATTTTTAGTTTCCCTTTTAATTTTTAGTCTCCCTTTATAATGAGGCCAACTATGACTACATTTTCTTATTGTCCTATGATGATAAAAAGCTCGAAAAGAAACTTTATCCAGAACCCAAAAAAAAAAAAAAAAAAAAAAAAAAAAAAAAAAAAAAACTTGGATAGAAACACCAAGGCTCAACATTCTTGCATTCTGCACGTTTTCTAAAATTGCTTCTTTTGATTGTTTCTTATTAGTAAAGAGTGATGTACATTCATATGGCCAACCCAGCTAGCTTGGCATTGAGTCATAGTTATTGTTGTCATGAGTGATGTACATTGGAGAGAAGCATCAAGGAGGTGGAAATGTTACATGTTCAAAAAGGAATATGAACAAACTAGGAGTGGGCGAGGATCTGCAGAAGGTTGTACAAAAGAGTAAAAACTAATTGGCATTGGAAGTTGACAAACTGCAGAATTCTTCACACCCACTCACACTCTCTCCAATACCATAGATAAATTTGTTCGAGGCAAAGGCAGGGGCGGAGGGATAGCATTAGCTGCGGGTTCGGACGAACCCAATTGCTTTTGCTTAAACCTTGTATTTGTATTAGAAAATTCATAAAATATGTATAAATATTTAATTGCAAATCCAGTAACTAAGACAAACTATGGCTATGAATAGTANTGCTCTTCGTCTTTTCAGAGGTTTGGTGTAAAACAGAAGGAGAAGATTGCTTCATTTAAAACCTCAGTGGATGTTCTTACACTTTCAGCAACGCCTATTCCGAGAACTCTCTATTTAGCATTAACTGGATTTCGTGACGCTAGGTAATACCACCGGGTTTGTTTCAATTTATCAAAGCACTGACTGGCTGTTGATGAAGTATCCACTATACTGTTGGGCACCTCCAGCAGCTGAAATTGGGTATCATTCATTTAGCAGTGTCAATGTTGGCTAGAGTTGACCAATTGTGAAGTTACATTCAACTCTACATTTTGCCTGCTCAATTTTTTGACTGTTTTGCTTTATGGCTTCCCCCATTTTCTTTTCCCACTCAAACAGTTTGATCTCAACACCACCTCCCGAGAGAGTTCCGATAAGAACACATCTTTCAGCTTACAGCAAGAACAAAGTAATAACAGCTATCAAGCATGAATTGGACCGTGGTGGCCGAGTTTTTTATGTCTTGCCCCGCATTAAGGGTAATGCATTCTGTGCCTTTTATGCACATTAATTGTGAGTAGCATTATGTAATTTGGTGGCCATGCTGTAGAGGAGTTTGCTGAAGTTCATCCATTGTACTCTTTGTAGTTACATGGGTTTGTCTATTATTCGCAGGTCTTGAAGATGTTATGGAATTTTTAGAACAAGCATTCCCACATGTTGAAATAGCTATTGCTCATGGAAAGGTGATTGTGGGATTAATTGAGTTTGCTTTAAGTTCTGGAATTGATAGAATATTCATGTTTATTCAGTCTTTTGACGTTAAAGATATGAACTCATACTTACATAGCATCTACACTGCATTGTCCAGTTCTAGTGGTCTGACATGCCATTTCATCTTTTTTGGCAGCAATACTCAAAACAGCTTGAGGAAACTATGGAAAGATTTGCACGGGGAGACATTAGAATTCTTATATGTACAAACATAGTAGAAAGTGGCCTTGATATTCAAAATGCAAACACAATCATCATTCAAGATGTTCAGCAATTTGGACTTGCACAATTGTATCAGGTTTTTACATTCTCTTGCCTAAACAAATAGAAAACTTTTTGTTGTCATATTGTCTTCCAGTCCTATTGGTAGTTCCTTCATGCATTGTATAAGTGACATTGAAACCAGGAGGCAGATCATTTGTTTTTATCTGCTTAGTTTTCTTAGGAATAAGTGATGAAAACATAGTTTACTTTGATACAAACTTTTGTTCAATTTTAGATGAAGTAGACATTCTTTGACAGCATGTGTTGTTAGCGCAGCTCTGAATTAATACAGAGTCTCCCTGTTTCCTTAATGTACATGATTAATTATACAAGATGATTAATGCTGCTAAAAGAGAAAATTTACCTTTTGGGATAAATCATACAAGATGATTAATGGTGCTAAAAGAGAAAATTTACTTTCTGGGATAACTTAGGTAGCTTGGGGTTTAGTCAGTTCAAACTTTGGTCCTCCAGGTGGACAGCGAGTATTTGTCACATTCAAAAACTCCTTGTAGTCTTGAGATTACATCGAAGTTCAATAGCATACATAGTGCTATTTTCCTTGTAGTGGCATTTGAGCCAAGCTCATTTTTATGAGACAAGGGATTGTCGCAGAGAGAGAACAAATGTGGTTGAATCAGTCTTTTGTGGTATTGTAAAGTCTTCTATTGTTTCTTTCAAGAGGAATCTCTGGGGTTTGGTTCTCTTATTGACCATGGGGAACCACCTGGCCTGCTATTGCAGCTGAGGTGAAGCCAATTGATTTCTTCAACTCAAATAATGTAGTGATTTCAAACTCCAATGAAGAAGCATCTTTTTTCTCTTTGCCGGTTTCCCTTTCATTGTATTTACTACTAAAGTTGATTGGTCAAAGATTTTCAGCCCTTAATTTCAAAATTTGGCCCCTTCCACTGCTAGCTAACTGATTAACTTGTCTCTCTTAATAGCTTCTGTTGATACTGTAGTTTTTGCAATTCAGATGTCCTTGAGCGGAATTTATGAGACTCGTATATTTTTACCATGTGCTAATCAGGGCATGATGACGTGCTGCTGACAATTCCATATCTTAACTTTGCAGATTCTTAGCGATTGTGGTTATTGATCCTTGGAATGCTAGGTGCTGTGACTTTGATATTCCTTCTAATTCCTACTCCCTCTTTGATTACTGTAGTTGCGTGGAAGGGTCGGACGGGCAGATAAGGAAGCTCATGCACACTTATTTTATCCTGACAAATCACTTCTTTCTGACCATGCACTAGTATGTTCTCTTTCCTCTATATTCTTCTATTAACAAGATATGTAGGAGATGATTCTTATATTCTGTCATCTTGCCTTTATTTTGGTAATGTTGCGGTATTTTCCAACAGAACAAGGTTTCTAATTTTATCTTATCAAGGACGAATTCTAAGATTTTTCTTTATTATGGCTGTAACATGGCATTCATTTGACTATTTAGGAGAGGCTTGCTGCTCTTGAAGAGTGCTGTGAACTTGGCCAGGGTTTTCAGCTTGCAGAAAGAGACATGGCTATTAGAGGATTTGGTAATATTTTTGGCGAGCAACAGACAGGCGATGTCGGCAATGTGGGCATTGATCTCTTCTTTGAGATGCTATTTGAAAGCTTATCAAAGGTCTGTTTCCGTCATCCTTTTACTCCATTATTTCTAGTTACAAAGATAAAATTGACTGGTTTGTGCCTAAGCTAGCATTGCTTTCTGCATGCTATCCTCCTCCCTTATTTTGAGATTACTAGTTTCTCGGCACGTGCGTTGCACGTGTATGTCGAGTCATGTATTAAAATAAAAGGTTTTAATGAATAATTATACATGAAGACTATAAATTATAAGTTTCATACAAACATGTGATTTCTTTTACTTATTTTGATTTTATGAGGTACAAACATGTAAAGTTGGTCATGTAACAAACATATTATAATTAAAAATTGTTTGACTCTATGCTTTATTTATCGTTATCGTAAAGTATTATTTGTGGACAAATTTGAAAAGATATCCTTGATTTTTAAGGGGATAAAGTTGAATTTTCTTGGGATAAACACGAAAGTTCATTCTAAACAAACACCAATATCTGAAAGTTTGTTCCAAGCAGACAACAAACTTTGCAAACAAACGATTAACTTTAGGCACAGAGTAACTCTATTACCGAGTAAAACCTCCTCATATACATGATGTTGACTAAATGAGCAAAGTTTATGTAAAAGAAACAATGCCAAAAATGTCACGACAAAAAGATCCATCGCCCATGTACTCATAGTAAACAAAATATATTACCTTATTGTAACCTTTTCAATATTGTTTGTCTTTTCAAAAATTAAATAGTCTCTTTTACTTATGAATAATTGACAGACCCTAGGTTAATTGAATCAAATTGCTATTATGAATTAAAATATATCAGTCAGCTAAAATTAAATCCAATTAAGTGTTTAAATCATTTAAGCACATGTAGAATAGAAATACAAATCTTAAGTTTCAGTATGAATCACTTGATTTGCGTAGGTTATTCTTTACCGTAAGCAACATTGATCCTCAAGTGTTTTTAAATATCTCTAACTCTATCTATACAAAACTACAACTTTTAACTCCAAAAGGATCTGTAGCTAGATTATTGAAAGATGTTATCCAAGGCATTATTTAAGATAGTACCTGCAATTTCTTTTCTATTCTTCATCCATCTAAAGAACTTCATCCTAAATATCATATGCCGCAGGGTGGCGGCCGCCATCAAATCATTTCCCCCTTTTTTTTGTCTTCAAAAGTGAGATGTGTATTGGATCTATATATACCGAAAGGTTGAAAGAATTTTACTAATTATACTAAGTGGCAACACTTAGTGTTTGTGCAGCCTCTTAAGAAATATTGTGGGTGCCACGAATCTCGATTTCAGGGGAAATATCTTTGCCTTTCATAATTTTGAATCAAGGAAGCAATTACATGGCTTATACACATGTTTTCAAGTTTCGCACTCTATGCTCTAAATATAATTAGAACCTAAATTGTTTATCTCGTCAGTTTCTACTTTATTTAGAATTGTCAAGTACAAGGGAAAACAAAGAAAGTGAAATAGAAAACAAAAAGGATTCAAAGGAGTAGCACAATCCTTTATTGAATCAGACCACGATACACATAAATTGAAGAATCACATTGGATCATAACCATCCATCCTAATATTTATATATATTGAATTTCATAAATCACAAAGAATAAATATTAAAGAATGAATAGAGTAAAGAAAGGAGAACCCGATTTTGTTGTCACTTTATTGTTTAGTCACTTTGGAATTGACTTTGCCTTCCATGAATATTACTTTATTTCCTCAAAATAAACTATGAGAAAGAAGGACGATCCTTTGGATAAATATAGTAGCATTGGCAAGAATCATTGCATCCAAAGTTTGCATCCTTTGATCCAAAATGTTGAAACGGCATGAAAATATTTGCACGACAGTTTTGAGAATATGCTTCCTAACCGTGTAAACTTATTGGCTTCACATAAGGTGTCTCTTTGAAGCGTCGGGTCTCTTTGGAGGCTTTATTATTATTATTATTATTATTATTATTATTATTATTATTATTATTATTATTATTATTATTATTATTATTATTATTGTTTTTGAAATAATTAAATAGGATATTAGGTTAATAAGAGGGGTATTAAAGTATTTAACTTTTCACTTTTGGGGTTCTTGCTTTTAATATAGATGATACATCTATGGATCAGCAATGTACCTCTCAAAATGAAAGAAAATTGTAATGAGATCTGTTATCTTTATTTGTATTCCAGGTTGATGAGCATCGTGTAATATCAGTTCCTTACCATGCAATGAAGGTATTTAATGCTCTCATATTTTCCATAAGTTGATATGTTTTTCAAGTATAAAATCCATTATACGTCTGCGGTTGTGTCTCCACTCCCCAATACCTAATGCTTGCTGCTCTTTTGAGGAACTGTCATTAATCATTAAGAACCAGAGAAATTCAAATCTTAAAAAATGAATAATTTTACAATAACAAACCCAGTGTAATCCCACAAGTGAGGTCTGGGGAAGGTTGTGTGTATGCAAATAAGTGTAATCCCACAAGTGGGGTCTGGGGAGGGTAGTGTGTATGTACCTGGTAAAGGTGGAGATATTGTTTCTGATAGACTCGGATAACTACTATAATTAGTACTCCCCCATTTTAATTTGTGTGAACTTATTTGACCGGCCACCGAGAGGGAGTAACTGTTAAGCCGGGTTTGTTAGCTAAAATGTTGAGTATGATCACGTTGATTTCCTAGGCACGTGGAAACAGCTTCATATAGGAACTTTAGACTAGTGGTTCTACAAATAGCTTGTACGAATTTGTGCCTCCTGTTTAAAGTTAATCTGCTTTTGTAACATCGAATTGTGAAAGATATAGCCTATATTTTAACTGCTACTTTCATTGGCAATTGCAAATAATGTGTATAACCTTTTAAAATTCTCACTTCCTGTCTCAGCTTGATATCAATATAAACCCTCATCTTCCTTCCGAGTACATAAATCATTTGGAGAACCCCATGCAAATCATTAATGGCGCTGAAACAGCAGCTGAAAAGGACATTTTCAGCTTGATGCAATTTACAGAAAATCTGAGGCGTCAGTATGGCAAAGAACCTTACTCTATGGAAATCCTATTGAAGAAGCTTTATGTCAGAAGAATGGCAGCAGATTTAGGAATTACCAGCATATATTCTTCAGGAAAGATGGTTGGCATGAAAACAAACATGTCAAAAAAGGTTTTCAAATTGATAACTGATTCAGCAACTTCAGATGTTCATCAGAATTCTCTGATTTTTGAAGATGGCCAAATAAAGGTATGGTTTTGCTGAGTTTTACTACCTTGCTATGCCTATAATAATCCCCTAAGGTTCCATTTTCTTCATTTGAAAGAATTGGAATTTAATTAATGCGAAAGGCAAGTTTTCCATATCTAAGTGGCTTTGTGTAATGATGTGTTCAGGCTGAACTGCTCTTGGAGCTACCTAAAGAACAGTTGCTGAATTGGATCTTCCAATGCCTAGCGGAATTATACTCTTCATTACCGACCTTAATAAAATATTAGTCCTTTCAGTGAACTGTGATTCTTTACTTCATCAAGTAGGCAGCCCCATGTCCATCGCTATTATAGGGTCCTGGGCATTTGGTTTTATTAAGAACATTAGAAGCTTCTCTCTCCGGGGCAGTTGGTTTAATTATGAACATTAGAAGCTTGTCTCTCATAAGCGGCTGTCTCCCCATGTACATACAGTATGAAAAAAAAAGAGATAGACCTGTATCGGCTATTAAAGCATATATATGAAAATCCAACTGGCACTTTCTCCATTCCTCTTGGGCAATCAATCCATATCAGAAGTAAAAGCCACGGGGAGTGCATTGTCTTCCTGATACAAGGTACTTAACTTTCGAATTCAATGAGGTTTATCTCTGGTCCGTTCTTTTTATCTTTTCAGTTTCTATTTTTGCCTTTTTACTTTTTGTCTCCTAATTGTCTGAGATCTGGTTTGTTTTTTACTGTGCAGGACTAGCACCTTTGTTTAAATAAAGGATATAGGATATATTAATGGACTATCAAAATGATTTTCTGTTTCTTGTGAAAGATTTGTTTATGTGGCAATTAGGATCCTCATTCACCCAACTTGAATAGGGAAAGAAGACGGGATCATAATTTGTCTTTCATGTTTTTCCGGATCCATGACTCCTTTCTCTTTATGTTAGAAGATGTCACCTCTTCATGACATTTTCTCTGAATTATGGCGCTTCATGGAATTTGTGTTGCATATTTTTTTCATATCATTTTGGCAAAATGTGATTCAAATCTAATTTATGTGTAATTCTTCTTATTAGCTAAAATTACAAAAAGGATCAAGAGATTAAAAAGCGAACGATCCAATTGAGACCAAATTATTTTTTCTTACGGACAGTACAAAGAAATTTCTTGTCAATTACTGACATTAAATTTCTTGTCAATTACTGACATTGATTCTAGCGGTCTAGCCTACGAAATTCCAATCGAAATGAATCCTAAATTACTGTCTATTGTTTATATTATACCATGTAGCCACCTTTAAAACAACTTATTGTAATATAACCAGCTTTAATATAGTAGTTGAAAAGTAGCCAGTTGTCCAGTTAAATAAGCTTAAAGGACTTTTTCGCCCTTTGCTCATCATCGTACCTGAAACCTATTTGCGAAAGAGTGAAACTCAAGTGGAAAATCGATCTCATAGCGGGTACAAACACACTTTTTACAACATTAGGTTCAGAATCCAAAATGGATATGAGAAATTGAGAATGCGATCAAATAAGAACAACGTTCCTTAAGCTTTCGCTCTTTTCTCACCAAGTGAGAATGGACCTCCTTTTTCTGTCCAACATGTTTTACTTCAACATGGTCATTTGGTTGGAAAGAAGTTATCTCAAGATTAATTATTCCGGGATTAGATATTCCACCTTTCATGGGATAAAAAAACACTATAATTCCGGGATAATTAATTCCGCGATTAATTATGCCGCAATTTTCTCCCAACCAAACATGAGATAAATTCTTCTTAAATTTAATCCCGAGATTAGTTATTCCTTATTCCTCCATGTACTGTTTGATCAATCTCCTTCACGAACTGATAAAGATTCAAATTGCATTTACATCAGATCTTATGCTAATTTAGTTTAGTCCTTCAAGTGCTCTGATTTGGGTGTTCACTTATTCTCAGAAACTTGGGATGATAATTGTGTTATATCGTAGTTGTAATCACGTAATTAAAGAGGCAATAAATCATAGTATCAAATTGAACAAACTTGTCCTCATATTCAGTCCTCCATTAAAAGATTATCAACTATGAATTTATTTTTAGTCAAACCGACAATTTGAAAAGCATGAGGCACTAGTCACGCGCGTTGAGCTGTACACGTCTTTTTTTCTTTCTTTTTCTTCTCAAGATATTAACTACAGTTCTATCAATTTAGCAGATTACCTCAATNTGTAAGGAACATGTCTCCACAACATGTCCCCCTTCTCCTCCAGCCAATGCCCTATTGTTCTAAAACTAAATGAAGAGAGCCACATAATATCATATGTTAATCTTGGACACTTATCTTTCTTTGTTTCTGGTGGAAGTGCATTTCCTCTCTCTCACCCTCTTTGTATTCCGTTGGCAACAAGGGGAAAAAAATAGTGAAGGGAAAAAAAAAAAAAAGTACTCTTCCATTTTATCAGATAGTTATAGTCCTAACTGAAGGATGACAAGCCGATGTTGAGGTGGCATCCATCTTTCTATGATTTCGGAAGGTAACAACATATGTCATCTCAAGTTTTAGCACCGTTATCCAAATTAGATGCAGCGAGCCTTTTCTTGTTTGGTGGTGAAAGTAATTTATAATCGAGCAGATTTCCAACCTCAAAACAACAACAACAACAACAACAACAACAAACCTATACCAACTGCATTTTAATAACTAAGTCCTGAAATGATGCACAAATTAGACGAGCCATGAAATACAACATCAAGAATAAATACGTGTTCGCACAGCAGCAACACCAAATCTCGTGGTTCCAAGACGAACCAAGGAAATCCACCACTGCTGAAAAAATTAATACCATATTGCCATTTCAAGATGTTGATAGAGGAATTTTAAAACACTCAACAATACCATATAATATAAGAGGAGCAGCGGACAGTGTGTCCATTCACAGTGCGCCACTATTGTCTATTTCCAACCTCAGAACAACACCTTTGTTGCCCAGCCGGTAACACCATTCCCATTTCAATAACCTAGCTAATTCACTTCCTAATCGCCTGAAGAACAGCTCCTCTTTCAGGCTTTCAGCCACTGCTGAAAGTACGATTGCATCTTCTCACGATATACAGCATTTCCAACATTGACAGTAGGAATTATCTTTTCTGGCCTCAGAAACTGCAAAACCAAATAGTTCCATTATTGGGATATAGCATAATTTTGTAAAATATAAAAAAAAACATCCACTTGGGAATTTTACCAGTTGGCAAAGATGACATTAACAAAATATTCAAGTAGCCAAAAGAAATATGGAAAAACAACTCAACCTGAACAAATTCCTGCAGCTCTGTGAAACTAGAATGCTCACTATATGGAACTCCTGCAGGAAATTAATGCAGTAGAGGAGTTGAATCAATACCTCAGCCAAACAGGTCCCACAAAAAGCAGTTGTAACATACACTAAATGACACAAATTATAGATTAGAAAAATTGTGGGATCTAAACCTCCAAAGAAGCACCAGGTTATCTCACCATAAATAGTGATGTTGCCTTTAGAAGTGGGTTTTATTAAGTTTAGATTCTCCCCAATGGTCTCTGAGTAAGTCCAACCTGAAAAAAAGACAACGGTAACGATCCTCTGCATGAAAAAAGGGACAGAAATCCAATTAAAAAGACGGGTCACAAGCTATAAGTAACAAATATGAGTTACCTGTTGGTCGGAATGCCAACATTCTAGTGTACTGTCCGTCTTGTGATGCCAAATAACGCTCCAGCATCTTAGAAACATCAACAGGAGAAGTTATAAAGGGAAAACGCATCAATCATCTAAAGGAGGTACTAATGCAAACCTCAAATTTCAAGGATGATATAGGCAATATGTGTAAAGGTGTATCTTTCCTGTTTGTTGACAGATTTTCAGAAATTCCTGCCCAGCCAAAAGACTGAAGAATGCGCCTCCTGGAAGCATTTGCATATATTTTTACCTATGAAGTATTTATAAGAAAATCCAGTCAGCTAATATTTCGTACAGAAGTTCACTTTGTTAAGAAAATAGGCAGCATAAAGTTTAGCTTTGAAGAGGACACTTGAAGCAAACTTGTAGCAAATCGTTACCTTGTCCCAGAAAGACAATGAAATTTCAATAGTTTGGTGCCATATGACATGCTATTCATCCATAAAGAGAAGGATTTTAGAAACCTAGTTACACGAGTAAAGCAGTTTCATAACAACAACAACAACAACAACAACGAACCCAGTTTATTCCCATTAATAGGGTCGGGGGAGGTAGTGTGTACGCAGACCTTACCCCTACCTTATAAAGATAGGGAGGTTGTTTCCGATAGACCGTCGGCTCAAGGCACAATGGAGATAAGGCAACAAGTAGCAAACAATAGTAACAACAATACATTAAGGTAACGTGCACGAATGACACAACATGTAATAGCAAAGAATCATGAAGAGCAAAGCAGTTTCATCTTCTGTTAAATGGTCAATGATGTATTTTATAGCAATAACTGACAATTGTTCATTGCCTTTGATGCCTTTATAGGGCTGCTAGATATTCATCAAGTGATAATATGGATTAATATCGTAAAATCGACCAAAAAAAGCATGAAATAGTCAGCAGCTAAGATACCCCGAGTGCCTTGGAAATTGCAAAATACACATGTTCTTTTCCAATGCTGTATGCACCAACAACCACGATGGTTTTTGGATAATTATTCAAATATGTTCTCGTGACGCCCACAACAAATTTCAAAACTTCTTCTTTGGAAGGAAACCTGAAATATCTCAAAAAAATTTAATATCCACCACAACTGTGAACAATATATATCCACGACAGAATACAAAGAGATTTAACACCTGTACTTTGGATTGCAATATGTTGTGTCAAGGTATAGTATATTAATACGTTGGCTTGCAAGAAGTGGATATGATTGCATCAGCTTCGAAGCCCTAAAGTCTCCAGTGTGCAAGTAACATTGTCCATTTGGGAGACGGAAGTGAATGAGAGCAGCACCAGGACAGTGATTAGCATCAAGCATAGAAACTTTGATTCCTTTAAGGTCGTATTCAGTACCTAGTTCCAGAGGACAGATGAAACTGCAAAAGAATCAACGGGACTTAATATCCTGTACGCTTGTTTGAGGTGGGAGGGAGTAAAAGAACCCAAAAGAGAAGAAAAGAATATGAAACTTTTATTGTTTTTCGAGTAATACACCTGACAGGGCAAAAAAGAGTCCTTACGATGGACTAACATTAAGACAGATTCTAACTAGGCGAGCAGTCAGGTTGGTACAGTAGATAGGGCCATGTGACCATACTTTCGTCAAGCCAATATAATGATCGGCATGGAAGTGACTAAGGAAATAGGCAGAGCAGCCTTTGACTGGACCATAGCGAAATGCGTCAACAGTGAAGGGCGTTCCTGCATGAATAAAGGACTTAAATGCTGAACAACAGGACATTGTGGAGTAGTTGCACTCAATATACATGAGAAAACCATGAAAACCAATTCCCAATTAAGTGTGTGTTAAGAAACATTGACTGCCCTAGAGCTGAGCAATACAGGATAAGTTAAGATGCCAGACGGCTAAAAATATGATGCCACAGTAGAAAGCTCAATAGTATTGTATACTTAGCCAGTGACTGTGCAAGGGCTATCAGGCAAGACAAAGCTTGGACATTCAGATCTTACATTGTTCAAGGATAAGTGATAATCAAAATCCTTCCTGGGACTGAAACACATAAAAAATTTCACCTTTTAAGCATCCCCCCCCCCCCTTTTTTGAATGTTATCTAGCTAGAGATTTCAGAATGAGTCATTATTAAGAAGTTGACGTTCAAAACGAAATTCCCACAAAGCTTATAGGTCCTGTGTTTACTGATCAATCTGCAATGGATGTGTAAAAGATTAGTAGCCTGAAAGAATGCATCTTTTGCTCAATACGGGGGCACGCTTAATCTAAGAGTGATTTAAAGAAAAGGAAAAGAAAATATCAGCAGAATTTAAGGAGGGTCCAAGAAGAATTAAGGATGAGACAGGAATACAATGG